ATTTTATATTTTATATTTTATATTTTATATTTTATATTTTATATTTTATATTTTAGATCTTAGATTTTATATTTTATATTTCATATTTCATATTTCATATTTTATATTTTATATTTTAGATTTTAGATTTTATATTTTATATTTTATATTTTAGTCAGACTTTGAAGCACTGTTTTGCTCAAATAAATTCTTCAGAATAGCTTATGTATAAAAAATTAAAGTACTATTCAGACAATTAGTCAATCCACAGGGTTTAACATTTCTATATTTCATAAATGTATATAAATTTTATATTTTTATATGTTAGCTATATTTTTAGCCAGCTTTCAGTGAGTTACTTTTTAGCCGAGGATGAAGCAAAATACAAAAATTGTTGGGATCTATATAAATATGATTTTTTGTTGGGATCTATATAAATATGATTTTTTGGCTGTTAATTTCATTTCATTCAATGCTAAAGAAAAATGTCAACTTTTCTTTAATACTGTGTCCATTATTTTATTTATTTTTTTTTTTTTTTTACATTGCCTTTGCTTTAATTGCAGTGTAGTTCAGAATTAAATATTATTTATTTAAAAAATTTAAAATATTATTTTTAATATTTAAATTATTATTAAATGCTATTTAAATGCCACAAATACTCGAAGCATTCATTGATCAATTTAAATAATTTAAAAAAAAACACACCCATACAAAAACATATCTATTACACATAAATTTTCGTTAAAAACTTCTCCTAACTACGTATAGTGGAGGGTGGGAAGTAGAAGGTGCGAAATGGTTCGCCGGTACCATTGAAAAACTTGGACTGAAACTCCACCCAATGCAAGCGCAAGGTATGCAAAAATGCTGAGAGACCCTCCATCATGACCAAAATGGCAACAGTTAAAATGCTCCAAACGAAGAAGGCTGCAATTAGTATGGGAACGGCAAAATAGATGGGTAACGTATTCTTCAGGCCCCTCTCGAGCACCATATTCCACAGGACATCGGACAATTGACTGTGGGCCAGGGACAAGGCCCACAAGCGCAAATACGAGGCCGTATGCGAAACAGAGCCCAGAACACTCTCGATCGTATGGATGCACGAGTGTATCCAAATTTCGGACATATCGAACTCAAGGGCATCGTCGAGCGTGTACAGCTTTGGCGACGAACGACGATCGTAGTCCTCAAAGTCGATGGTGTAGCGCAACGAGGAGCGCATTTCCTTGAGTGTATTCCTGCTGCTGCGATGCAGTTCTTCCGAATTATGGTGCCTCCTGTGATGCTTCATCAATTGCTTCTGGCGACAGGTCAAATAGATCGGTTTGCCGGCCAATAGCACCGGCACCATCGCTAAGGCTATAAAAACGAGAACATATTCCAATGTGCGTTCATGTGGAAACATGCCCGTGTTGCAGGTCTTCACCTCCATCTCCGTGGTCTTCATCAGCATCATGTCGATGAAGGTAATGAGCACAGATGGGGCACACGCTGAATTGTATGGCGCCTGCTTCAAGCCCCCATACGTTAGCCACTTGAAGAAGATGAGAAAGACGAGGTAACAGAACAAACACATCATAAAGATGATGAGCGGAATGACGACTAGAAATAGATCAGCCTTGCGCTTCAAATGGATGCAATTGACCGCCGACAATGTGAGGCCGAACATCATTTGGGCAATGCCCAATATGATGGCCAGTTTCATTTTGAGTGAATTGAACGTTGTGATGGAATCCTCGCCACTGATCTTCCAGATCGGATCGACACCGATGGGATAGGGATGGCCCGAGTAGAATTTGGGATCATTGCTATTCAATGTCAGCTGTGAGGTCATGCCCATCAGGGTGGACTCATTGTACACACAGCTCCAGCTGGAGCCAAATAGGTTAATGGGCCGCGACATGATGTCGTTGTAGATGAAGCCAACGTATATGGAAAATATGCCCATTAGTAAAATGATATAGCGTCCGCTATATAAGATATTCCTGATCTCATTCTCGCTAACTGTCGTCCGATTCTCCTGCTCGATGCGTTTCTCCTCAAAGATCATGAAGCAGGCGAACAGCGTCAACAGAATGCCATGGCCCATATCACCGAACATGATTGCGAAGAGGAAGGGAAACGTTATTATCGTATAGGGAGCCGGATTCAGTTCACGATAGTCGGCGATGCCGTACGCATCGATCAGATTCTGAAAGCCCTGCGTAAACTTATTCAGCTGAAAATATGTGGGCGGCATGTGGCGCTGTGGGCGTGTACGTTTGATCAGCAGTGGCGCCGTGTACTTCTCCTCATCGCCCGTCGCATGGATGCCGTTGTTTAGGACACGCCGCACCTCGTCCGTTAACATTTTGGGCGTAAAGCATTCGACTTGCAGATATTTTTTACGATCCTGCGGGCCGATCGGATACAGACGATTTAGTAAATCATAGATTCGCAGGCTTTTGCGCAAGTTAATGCGCATTATATACAGATCGTTGGCAATGATTGTTAGCAAACGTTCGTGGGCTTTGCGCGTCTCGCCCAGCACCAGCTCCAAATCGTTAATATCCTTGGCCAATTGCTCGATCATAAGCATTCGCTGGGTCGGACTCTCCGGGCACTCAAAGATCACCACTTGAAATGCCTGGCAGATTTTCAATAATTTATGCCGAAACGCCGCCGCCGTCGTCATCAGGAGCACCACATATTTGGGCGGCATTTCCTTCTGCTGGCCCTTCGAGTTCGTGCTCGTCCTTGGCGAGTCTGTGTGCCGGACCAGGACATTGCGTCCATAGAAACGATAGATGAGCAGCTCAAAGGCTGGAAACTTTTCGACATGGATGCTGCCCAGTATATAATTCAATTGCGAGCTATGCCCTTCGATCTGCGACTGATCCCTCAACAGATTAATGATTGAGCTCTCCGTGTAGACCAGCTGGGCTTTACTGTTCCGTTTCACCTCCAGGAATTCATTGGCATGTCTCAGCGCAAAATTCTTCTCAATCATATAGTTGTAACGCTTCTCGAGCGTTGTCACATGCTCGATCACCGATGTCGCCTCCTCGTGCACACGGCGCAGCTTATGATCATATCGAATTATGTTGGATTCACGTGGCCGATGCACTGTATCCACGTCCGCATAATATACCTCCTTGATATCCGCATGCTTCAGCTGGGCCTCCAGATAGTCGACAATGCGCAACAGATCGCTGCAGAGCACCACGCGCTTCGTATAGAGGCCGTTCATGATGTGATCCTCGTCAAAGACATTATTGAACTGCATGCCGCCGTAGTGTCCCAGCTCCATGAGGCAATCGAAGGCATTCTCCATGTGCAGCAGCAGCAGGCACAGGTCCATCTCCTCGCTGCAAAAGAAGCCCATGCTGAACGCAGAGTGTTGTATGGGAAAATTCTCATATATATATATATTTTATAAACATGTGTTGAGGTTTTAGTATTTGTTTTTTTTTTGTGGAACTGACCTAGGCCAGGCCAGGCTAGGCCTGCTAATTGATATGTTAGCCAAACTAGTTGTTGCTGTTGTTGCTGTTGCTGTTAGTTGTCTTGGCATGTTTGCTGTGGCTGCACTTAATACGAGTAGCTAACTCAAGTCCGAAACAAAAACAACGGCCTGTGCATAAGATTAACTGCGATAATTTAACGTTTTACATGCTGCACTCTGCCTCAGTCTGCCCCTCCATCTCGTTGCTCGTTACAGTCACAGTTGCAGTTACGCCCACATTGCAACGCAACACTGAGCAACAACAGTCTGCAATCGCTTTGTTGCCTCGCTGGGAAACTTTGGGCTGAACTCTTTACAGCATTTGCTTGGCGAATTGCGTTCAAGCAGACATACATATATGAATGCACATACATACATACATATACATATGTATGAAGTCATGTACGGGAATAGCTATTTCAAATCAATTGATTAGAATTTATAATTCTTGGCAGGAATTTGCATTTGTGAGGGAAATTTTGTTGAGGGAAATTTCGTTGAATTGCATTTGCAAGGCATATATGTATTTAATATGAATATTTTATAACTGATGTATGTATGATGTATGTATGTGTGTGCATATATTGATTTCTCCTGTTTCTTGCTGTACATCTCTAACTCATTGTTTTTATGCCTCTACCTCTATAGGAGAACGCTAGAAATAGAGATATTTAGCGAGAGATAGTGAAGAGCTAGAGGAAGACGGATATCCTCCTTTACTTTTCTCTCTTATTTAACGCCAAATTAATATACATATATATGTACTTTACTTTATCTACATATCTTAATGAATATATTTATTTTGTCGTCCTCTCTGTCTCTATTTCCCTCTCTATATACATATAGCTATCTAAGTATTTTTCTCTCTCTCTCTCTTTCTCTCTCCCTCTCTCTCTCTCTCTCTCTCTCTCTCTCTCTCTCTCTCTCTCTCTCGTATACACATACTTTCTTTATCTCTATCCCACACTCTCTTTCTCTCTCTCACTTCTCTATCTCTCTCTTCTACTTGCTCTTTCCCTGACACTTTATCACTCATTTTCTATTCTACGCTCTCTCCATTTCCGTCCATTTCTCTATCTTAAGACTCTCTTCTTCAATCATAATACTCTACCTTTGATAAGCAACTCCCTTCTCTGTGGTTTTCAAGAGCTGTACAAGGCTGCTTCATCTCCTCCGGCTTCACTCCTTGTCTCTGTCTCCTTCTCTCTCTCTCTCTCTCTCTCTCTCTCGCTCTGTCTATGTTTCCTTCTCCACAAAGTAAATTTCAATTTGTTCGCCTACTGCCTGCCTGCGCTCCTTTCCCCGTTCGTATGCATTGAATTAAGTCTTATGATAAATGCTAATTAGTCGAGGGTATCGCTTAGTTCAGCTCTATATCATTCTAATTTGCATTTAATTAAGCTGCTGCATTTGCTTTGCTTTGCTTGCAGCTGGCAATGCGGCGTATGCTTAAGCTGCTTATATAACACACCAAGTGGCAGCAGCAATAGTTGTTGTTGCTGTTGCCATTGTTGTTGCTGTTGATTTTAGGTGTTATTTTCTCATCACATGCCACAAAAATAGATGCAGCAACATTTTCCCAGACAAATCGAAGTTAAAGCGTTTTAGACAAATCGTTTTGTAATTTTGAGACGATGTTATTGTTGTTGTTGTTGTTGCTAATGTTATTGTTGCTGTTGCTGTTGTTGTTGTTGATTTGATGCCAAAAGCGTTTTACTCATTAGCTGCTGCTAAAAGGAAAATGGCCCAAAAGTTTAGTACTTTGGTGAAAATCGTTGTTCGCCACGGCTGCCAACAGCGAACGCTGCTTGGGCACATAAATTGTTAGTTAGCAACAACAACAACAACAACATCAATGGCAACAATCAGCCCAATGGCAACAATGACTGAATCGGCTACAAACAATGAAAGTAAAAGTGCCAAAGCTCACTGCACTTGATAATTTCTTGGGCAAAGCTTGTTGGCGATCTCTAAATATGTTGTTGTTGCTGCTGCTGCTGTTGTTGTTGTATCGCAAGTCATTTAGCTGGACACTGGCTTTAACAATAACGTCGTTGTTGCTTGCGTTCGATTTCATTAGCTTTTATTGCAGCACTTTTGTTGTTGCTGTTGTTGCCAAAGAAATTAAGTCACCAAATTGAAAGTTAAAGGAAAGCAAAAGTGGGCGAATGTTTTCACTTTTTTTGGGGCCAACATTTAGCAAATTGCATTGAAGTCATTAAATGAAGTGCGGCGCAGAAATGAAAAGAAAGAAACTAACAGAGCTGCAACAGCAAAAGGCGTGCGGCTAAAGAGAGGCGTGGCATATTGACAGAGTTTGACTGAGAATCTCTGAAATGAAACCTTAAACAGGCTTGACAACATGTTGACCTTAATAATTATTTTAAGATTATTATATATAAAAGAAAACATGTCTCAAATATGGTTAAACTTCAAGTATTTTCATAAACTAATTTCGAATTTTTTCTCTCTCTCTTTCCCTCTCTCTCCCCTCTCTTTGCAGTGTGATGTGATTGAAGTTCAATAGCCGAACAAGCAGACGTCAAGCATAAGGTAAGCCGCAATCGATTTTGGCATTAAATAGCAATTAAGTGTACGCCCACAACAACAACAACAATAGAAAGAGTAATAACAACAATGGCTATAAACGCAACTCACTTTTCGTCCAAGGCAGGAGAAAGTGCACTTAGATTGAAACATATAATTTGCCAAAAGGCAAATGTAGAACCCAAAATTAACGCCTAAACAGCAACGGCCCATGCCTTTATGATGGCAATCAAGTTCGCTTTAATTACAATATACATAGATATACACATACACATACATGTGTATATATAGGCTATCTGAATAGGGTCAAGTTGTGTGTAGCACGCGAAGCAGAACCCGTGAAAAATTTTTCGTGTGGGCGTGCGCTGCTGCGTCTCTAGAAACGAGAAGCGAAACGCCAAAGCGAAAGTTTGAAAGTGACAACAGAAAATAGCTAAAGAAAACTGAAAAGTTGTGAGCTCTTTGTGTGTGGGTGGGTGGGTGCGAGGTTAGTCTGAAGTAAATTGATAGTACATTTATATATATATGAAAATAATATACAAAAATCAAATTCTTTATATGTAGATATATCAAGCTGTCCATATCTATTTAATGTATTTATTTTGGGTCACAGTTAGCTTATAGAATGCAGCACAGGCTTAGTCTTACCTAGAAGTTCTATCAGGAAGTGTGCCTTCGACTTTTTAGATTGCTTAAAATTTAGGATCTAGCCGTTTCTATAGTTCTCACAGCTCAGGTTTCAGTTCTAATAACTCTATTAAATACTGTGTGATTAAAATCGATTAAATTTAATTAAAAAAAAAAAATCTATAGAGAACTGCCACAACTAAAATTCGATATATTTATCGAAAACTTCTTATAGCCAGAAATCGATTAAAGTCGACTAAATTACAATTAAAATTCATTTTATGAATTATATATATTTCCTATGATCAAACGATATGGTGTATAAACCTCTAAAGGTATTATTATTATTATTATTATTAAGAAGTTACAATTAAACAAAAATTAACTCTAACTTAAGGCTAAGTACTGGCAGCAGGGGCCTTCGGCTGGTCTAAAAGTATATTTTTCCTCTATATATACATATATAATTTCATTGGTCTTCAACATCACAAAAACTCTCATGTAATTTTTTTTATCTTACTTAATACTCAGAAATGTATCAGGCCACCCTCGTAGTTCTAATTATCTATATATGCACGAACAAATTGTGGCACTTATTGAGCGTGTGCTTTAATTAAAGTGTGTAAATAGCTATGTATATACATACATCACTCTACATATATACTTACAACACATGATTCACACACACACACATATATACACATACCTTCACACACACACACACACACCGCATACATCTAACACAGAGCTCTGAGCACTTAAGAACTAACTGTGCGTTCACGACTGGCATTGAAATGGACACCTATAGCTCTTGTTGTTGTTGTTGTTGTTGTTGTTGTAATTTCTGTGCTGACTGCAGCCAAAGCAAGTTCGTTGCTTAAGTCATTCGTTTTGCATGCCGCTGACTGACTGCGACCTTATCAAGCCTATGACTGTGACGAGCTGCTGCTGCTGCTGCTGCTGCAGCTAGTTGTGGTTGTTGTTCTTGTTGTTGTTTATGTTATGCGTGGACGTCTAGCCCGAGTTGGCCTGGTCTTGGCCCGCTGTGGCTGTGGCCCGTTATTCGTCTCGAGCTTTAGAGCGCTGGCAGGCGCTTCATTAAAATGTCTAGCTGGGCCAAATGGTTTTTGAAATTGAAACGTCTATGTTGCGACTTGTTGCGTCTGAGCAAATGCATCTTCGTCTGCAGCAGCAACAGCAGCAGCAATGGCCACGTCGTCATCAACAGCAGCAGCAGCAGCAGGCGGCGGCGGTGGCGGCGGCGGTGGCGGCGGCGGCAGCAGCAGCGCAGTTGCCTCACAGCCGCTTATCTTCTAGTCTGAACGCATCATGCGCGCACTTGGCTCTGGGCTATGCCAAGGCCTGGCCATGGCTGTGGTCGCGTCGCTGTCTGTGGTAGCTCAGCCAGTTGCTGTGGCTCTGCTGCTGCTGCCGGCACCACCAGCGCACAATTTTCAATTTGCCAATTGTAGCAGTAAAGTTTATAGCTGTATTTTTAGTTGTTGTTGTTTTCGTTTTTTTTTTGTGGTGCTGCTCTCCCCACCGCTGCGCTGGTTTACCGTTAGCTTTTGGTTGTGCATGTGATTGGCCTTAGGTGTTGCTGCCAACTACTTGGGCCATTTACCTCAGCATCAGTGCATGTGTGTCTGTGTGTGTGTTGCGTGTGTGTGGGTTGGGTCTTACTAATTTGCGACAATTGGTCAGACCATTAGCCAAACTGACTGACTGACTGACTGACTGCCTGACTGCCCACTTATGTGTGGGCGTGTCTATTGCATTTCCATTGGCCATGCGACTATAATTTGAACAGGAATTCTGGCATGAAATTTTGATTTAATAAACGTCGCAACGTTTGATTGCTGCAGTAAAAATAACAAATGATTAAACAATGATGAGTGGAGAGTGGAGAAGGGAGGAGAAGGGAGGAGACGAAATTTTATGCTGAGTTGACAATTCATTCAACGAGCCATGCAGCAAATTATGTGTTTAAACTATAGGAAATGCTTGGCAAATATTTATGGCCAAGCATTACTTAAGTATTTGTTCTCTTAATGAGCAGCTGATTAATTATATTAATTATATAAACAATTTAGCTGCAATTAATATTGCACTTATCTACTCTTTGTTTCACATGTTGGGGCTATTTATTTTTGCAATCAGTTAAAATTTTTGGTAATTTTTGTTGTTGTTGCTTATTTAAATGCCAAATTTGTTTTTGTTACTAATTAGAAGTCATGTAGCATAACTCGTCTCAATTGGACAGGTGAACATCAGTTGGTGAGCAGGAAGCAAATGAGATTTGCAAATCGGAAAGCAGATAAATTTTCAGCAAAGTCAGGCGATGTTTCAAGCTAAAAACAGCTACCAAAAACAGATTTTTTGGCTACTTTTCAGCAGCTATAAAATATATAAAATTTGTAAACATATTCTGTTGTGTCACGTTAGAAAGAAAGAAACCGTTTTAAACAAATTTAACTCTTTTCGTTTCTGTTGCATTTACTTAACGGCTTCGCCCACACAGGCATCATCTCTATCCATCGCTCAGTGTTACTTGGCATAGCTTAAGGCTTTCATATTACCAGAGCTGCTAGCTGAATGACAGATAATGATTTTTGAAGAGTTTTAAAAAGAGATTTTGAGTTAAAGTGTAATAGTTGCAAAAACCGTAAAATACTTGAAGCTGTTGTGAATTATCTCCAAAATGTTAGCTATGGTCTTATAAATAATATAAATTTCATATTAATAAATAGGCTAAATTAAAATCTGAAAGAGCGAATGAAGAAAATCGTGCTACTATTTTAGTAAAAATCTGAAATATGTCTCAAGTAAATCTAGTGCTCCTAAAAATTAATATCAAAAAATAAAAGTAAATAAACAATACATACAAATTAAAAAACCTTATAAAAAAATTATAATAATAATAATTTCTATTTTATTTATTTTAGTATATATACAATATTTATATTTTTATATATTTATAGACAAAAATAAAATTAAATACAAATCTTATATCTATTTTTTTTTTTTAGTATATATTTTATTTGTATTTTATAAATATTTTATATGCATTTAAATATTATTAAAAAATTGTTGCCAACAAAAAATTAATATACAATATGTATATATTTCATAGATATTCCCTCGATTTAAGGGCATACTGTTCAATGATCTTTACTCGGCTTCTAAAGCAATTTGAAGCTTCTGCCTCTGATATAGGGTTTCACAAATATCTCAACAATATCCAATTGCTTTAAGTTTCCATATAATACCTCTACTCAGTAAGCAATTGAACATCTGCCCAAGCGACATTCCCGCTCTTACAGCTTAAAACTCAAACAATATTCACGTGCTGCTCTCATTACTTACGATCGGCCACATACCATGCAGACTGATTTAAGCGGTATGCAGTGCATTGCGCATACCCCAATTAATAATGCTCATATTTTTGACAATCCAGCGACAGCTGCAGAGCGTTTCTAATAAATGATAATTGCATTTTGCGTAACTGCGGCATTTGTGGTCATTGGACACAGCTGGCTGTAATATGAAACAAACTAAGCACGCACACACACATGCATATATATACTTATATGTATATGTATGTATGTTTAGTTGAGTGATCAATTCATTAAACACACGCTGTTTTCCATGATTCTTGCAAATTTGCAACAAAATACATATTTTGAGCAAACATGACCCAAATTTTTTTTGTAGCTCATTTGTTGTTGCTATTGTTGTTGTTGTAGTTGTTGTTGTTGTTGCGGGTACATGTGCAACAGAATACACTGAAGCAGCAGGGCGCCCGGCGCGAGTATGCGGCACGAGTTCAAAGTGAAATTCATAATGAAACGCAAAGCCCTCGAACTCTGGACTCAATCGACTTGAAATTCACATGGCCGTAATTTGTTGGCAGTGTGTGTGTGTGCGTGTGTGTGTGTGTTGTGTTTCAGAACCTAATCAACACATCATCAATAACAGTGGGAAATCATTTGTTCTAATGTGCGCAAGAGTGTGAGTGTGTGTGTGCGTGTGTGTGAATCTTTCTCTATGTTCTGCTTGTCTGATTTGTGCTTCGCTGGAGTTGCGCCTGTGCCGTGTGGGAGATTAATCATACGGTGCCATAGGCTGAAGCGTGAAATGCAAACAAACAAACAAATGGACAGGCAAACGGACAACAGATAGACAGACAGATAGGCAGACGGACAGCTAGACAGAGAGACAGTTATACGTTGATTATAGATACAGGCAAATCGCGTTGAAAACTTAATGAAAGCCAGCGAATTTCTGTGGCTTTTCATTTGGTTTTGGGTCTTTTTTTTCTCTCTCTCTCTTGCGCGGGTCAGTGCACCGCCCACCTTTTGGCTAACCGCCCACTATGT